TAAGATCTGCTTATGTTGATCGTGATTGAATGGAAATTTCATAGACGTGGTCGATGTAATCCTATTAGTTGAGGTTTGGCGACTTTTCATCCTTTTGAATCTACTTACTTACTAACTCTGCACAAAGCACAGCGACGTACAAATGGTACGTGAACTAATAGTAAGAATGAAAATCATCGATTATTGCCATTTGTTACAAAGAGAAGAAAAAAGGAAAAATTATGGTGTACAAGGGAGGTGCAGGGTCTTGTTCGGATGATGGGGCGTGTCAGTGATACTGGGTTTGGCGCGCCACCAATCCATTTTCTACCAGTTGTTGAAGGGGGTAAGCGACAATGACTAGTGGAAAACAACAGAAAACAAACGCTATGTTACAGTCCTGTAGCCTGCCAAGAGAAAAAAAGAAAAATAGGGAGCTGACGCCCGCCAAGCCCACCATTTTGGCACGGCCCATCATATGTACGACTGTACTGACCCACGCCTCACATGGCGATTCGATGGATCTGAACCTGGAGATGTACCTACTGTGAACACAGGAAATCCCTTTGATCCACTGGGAACTGATAACTTCTTGTAATTGATAAGTGTGCTATCTCCACTCATGCAGTGGGCATGGCTGCTCGCTCTATGGGAACTCTGTTCGGGTACGTTCGTCGGCTACCATCAAAATCTGCGCCTTGGGGACGGCGGTGAAGATGAATGTCCTAAGACGCAGCGACGTTGTGAAATGTTGCTTCGATGTTGGAAGGTCTTCGAGATCGGAGTGCTGGTCTCCATGGTAGCTACCTATGGGTGTGTCCGTACTAGAATTTAAAGCAGCCTTTGGAGATGGACATGAACTTCGCAACCGTCTTTCTCAGAACGAATAAGAATGCGACTGGAGATGACTCCATATTTTGGTGTACATGAAGGTGATGGCGAGACCACCGGCGAACGTCTTGGACATCTCATCCGCTGTACTCGTTTCCGCTCGCTCTTCGTGGGCTGCGGAGGAGGAGAGTCGAAGTGACTCTTTTCGCCGACCCTCCCCTGTAGTACGCGAGTGACGTGAGACCACGATGTTCCCTGACATTTATTGACATCAGCCACTTATCCAATCGCTATGACCCGTGGATGCCAACGCCTGTTTTTCCATGTGGGAGGTATGGGACCGCGGCTACGGTACCATGCCACTTTTTCCCATCGAAAAGGCACGAGAACAGGGGCGGGAAACTCGTCTAAAACTTCTAAGTCGTCTAGAACAATGGTTTTTCGCAATTTTTCGATGGTTTCACTTCGCTTTCCGCCATTTTCCAACTATATAGCACCTCTGCTACCATTTTAAACCGAGTATAAAAATATTGTGCTTTCATGTCTTTGAGTAGACAGCACGACGTGAGATGAGCACCAGAACGGCTTGTCGCAGTGTGGTGGTAAGCCCCATTAGGGGTGCCCCCTCCGAAGCACATAGCGTTCTAGTTGGCCAGGCCATTAACGTGCCGGGTAACAGTCACATCTTGACTCTTTCACGTAGCGAGATACTGCAAAACTTTTACGCGGCGCCTGGAAGACAATTGGCCGTCCGAAGCGCTGATGGGCGTGGCCGCGACGTCGCCGACTCGTAAGTGTATAGTTGTCGAGCGTATTCATCGCTTCATTTCTACTCCTGTAGCTGGATACAGCATGACACATTGACCAGGTCTATGTGCAGCTTGCCGTGAGTTGCATCACTTTGTCAAGCGGAAAATTCTATTGCTGTGGCTTCCAGACAGCCTGAATCCAGTCCCTCCGATTGCGCGAATTTTTTGCTTTTCTCTGCGCTCTCTCATCTGCTTTCTATATCCGTTGTGACCTCAAATGCTTCAGCTTTAGCAGGCTAACCACCATGTAGTCCTTCAGTCTGGAGAATCCCAACCTCTGGATCTCCGCATTTTTGGCTACTTTATGGTTAGAGGTTCTGGCAGTCTTTCTACGTCTCTCTGTATGCGTTAGTTTACGCCATATCTTGAACTTTTGGTAGTGGTCCTGTTACGAAACCATACAACGCAGGCAGATTCAGGACCGCAACTGCCAGAACATCGGAATGTGAAAGAAACATGTCTCTTTGTCCTCAAAGCCTTGGCTTGAGCTTTTTCACGGGGAGCGGACTCCGGGGGTGGGGAGGGGTAGGGTGGGCCACTTCTCATGTGTGACCAGCTGGAAAGTGTGATGTCACTATGGCCACAGAATGAAGCACGAAGGAGAAGTGCAGAGAAGAACTGAAGATCGACGAATTCTAAAGGTATGGTCCGCGATCGGGTGTAGAAGTTGAAAATATGGCGTCGGGAGGGTAGTGTGGTCCGCGACGAACAACCTTGTACCGGTTTCGCGGCAAAAAATTGTAAGGGAGGGGCGCTATAGCGCAATATAGGTTCAGTGACGCCTCCTTTTTTCCAGTGACTCCGCCTCCAGACTCCGCCTTCAAGGCCCGCCTTTCAGTGAAAAACGAAGCTGCAGGACGAAAAAGCATGAAAATCGTCACTTGTACGGTGTAGAGTTCTTATCGGGGATCAGCTATGCGCATGAATGAATGTGGATTTAAGTGGACACGTACAAACTGGGGTAAAGAGGGGGTTCTATCTGGGGCAAGGCACGTTTTTTTCTGCTTTTTTCTTCTCTATCGACCTACTCAGGACCTTGTCGTCTGTATGCACACCCCTAACCCACCATCTGTGATGGCGGATTATCTCGGGTTTTGCTCTAAAGGCAGTTGGTTGATACTCGATACTCGGCCTAAAATACTAGCAGGGCACCATATAGTGAGAAAATGGGGAAAGAACGGCGTGAAACGGTCTTAATCCTGCGAAGAAGCCTCCTTCTTTAAAGGCAGTTGGCACGATAAATCGCTATACAGGTGTAGGATTTGTACAACTGGCTTAACAGAATTCCGTGACCTCGGACAGGCGCTGCGTGAAGCCTTTTCCAAGAGGGTACCCCTATAACGCCCTATTGAGCAACAACTTTACGTCCCAAACGCCTTCCTTGCCCGCCCGCCCACAAACGGACGACCGTTTCTGACGCTCGTATTCATTCATTTGCTGAGCAAATTATGAAGCAAAGGGATTGGTATGAAGCGGCCGTGATGCTGCATGCATATATGGGTACACATATGCAGCCGTATCTTCGGTAGCGGTGATTGGCAAGATGCGTACGGGAAAACTCGTCCGAAATCGATTTACAAGTCACTGAGAACGGAGCTTTTTCTTCGCCGGATTTTGACCGTTTCACTCCGTTCTTTCGCCATTTCCGTGGTGGGTGTTTGGGTTGTTGTAGCTCGACAGGGCCCTTATTAGGGTGCCTCCCCTGGAAAGGGCGCTGGGCTGCGCCTCCTCAACGGCGCGGTATTCTGTCCTGCCAGGCGTATTAGTCCTACTCGTCTTCAAGATTTATGGTGCCAACTGCCTTTAAGTTCAACCCTGCGTTAGAGGGTTTCGCAACAAGACCTCCAGAAAAGTTCGAAATATGGCGTAACTCCCCTGCCACCTACTCCACCTCTAGCGTCACTTGATGCTACTGATTGTTAATTAGAAGTATGAATGTAAAGAGCGCCTGAACATAGTAATATAGTGCAATTGATCTTGTTAAAATTTTCACGGCGATTTGTGTGCTGTCGACCAGAGATGTTTATTCACCCAAGAACAGAAACATTTTTTACTCAGTAGTAGAAATCCGTCAACTTCGGGTCGTAATATATAGGATCATATTGTCCTGTACTCTCGCTGAGTTTATAGAAACCCTCGTCTGCAATCCACTTCTTGCTATGCGCGCATTTGCCGATTCCGTAAGTTCTGAAACGGAAAAAGATCTCATTTCATCATCAAAACATCCCTTGAAGACAGTTCCCGCCCCGCGCAATGCCTCCGTTGCATTTCACATCGGTTGTCCGCATTTGCAGAGAATGCGCCGCTTTCGCCATCCGGGTTGAGCATGGTTTAACACGTTGACGACAACCGCGTTTTGCGGGAAAGCGCCACGTGGGACAATGGCGTGCTTTCGCATGCGTCCGCCCTGAGCCACCGGTGGCTCATGTTGTCCCTCGTGGACCACCTTTTGCCGCTATGTCAAATTTCGCAAAATGATAAGTCAATCGTGTAGGGACTGCTATTTCAACCATCTTTGACCCTAATGGATGCCATCTCGTGCCCCGCCCTCTGCGATCACGCCCACTTTTTAGCGCGGTCGTGATTTCCGAAATGTGTACCATAACTTCCGTTTCTAACACTTTTCTTGTAATTTCCTGCTTTCGACACATTACAATGATACATGGATGGCCACACCGACACATAGCGCCACGCCCACTTTTCAAAATAAAGTATTGTACACTGATGTGAGAATCGTCTTACACGAAAACGAAGGCGAAAGGTTGTAGCTTCCAAGTCGAGCTGTCAACGCCTAATACTGAGTAGGAATGATACATCGTACAAGGATGCCAATAATCATCAGTGTTCGAGTTTTTGCTCAGTTCGCTGGCCAAGAAATCGCTGGCGCCAAAGTGGCGGCAAGGTGAACGCGCACCTTCGAAGCCAACGATGATGTTTGCTCGACAAGATGTAAGTAACCTAGGTAGCGTCTGTCCCATTTGGAATCTGTGTCAAAAATCCGCTTGGCGTCTCTTTGGCGCCAGTGGCGCCAATTTCGGAAGGCCAACGATATATTCGTGAACAAAACCGCGTGCTGGCGAGAGTACATAATAGGCGTAGAGTTTCCATCAAATTCGGTGTCAAAAAGACTGCTAGCGCCCAAATGGCGCCTACTGTCGCCATGTGGCGCCAATGACAACTAAGATCTCACATTTATGATCAAGAGCCCTCCACAGTCCCTTTGCGGCCAAGGTTTCGTCCAAAAACAACTTTTTGGAGGTTTCTGCCGCAGCAGTAGCTAGTTGAAAAATTTCAATTTTTAATTCAAAATATCTCATGGGGGCAGCAACATTTTTCTTGCTCATCCTTGTTGGAAACTCACCTTCCACAGCTTACTCGAAAGCAAGAAAAAGATCGATTGAGACTGCCGGCAATAACCCAAAAGATTATATCGGAGAAAGTACCATGAAGCCCCGGTGCTGAGGTCCGTCGTCCCACGTGACCGCTTTCTCATGAGCCACCGCTGGCTCAGGATTTCCGTCAACGTTGTTAAGGCAGCGTTCAGACTTCGCGACGGCAGCGCTTCGGTCGCGCGTTCGACGCGATCGATGCAGTTGAAAGCATGCGCATCGATCGCGCCGAACGCGCGACCGAAGCGCTGCCGTCGCGAAGTCTGAACGCTGCCTCAATAAGCTGGATACACGTTGCAACTTGCAGCCACAAGCAGGGCCCTATTCAGGTTGTTCCAAGGATTTTTTGCTTCTTTCCCTACTGGGGAAATACTTAAGGGCTACTGGTTCATGGCTGGGCACCTAATACACGTAATACTTGATCGCTAGAATTGTCTTTTAATTGTACAACTACTTACTTTAGTACTTCTGTTTCCCCAGTTGGCTTCATTTCGGAGAACCTCCACCAGAGTGCGAAAGGTGCTTCATGATAAATTCGCGAGAAATCCGTTCCACTTCCTGGTGGCGTCAATTCGCGACCATGTATTGTCTTGGCCGCCGCTAGGTTAGGATTCGTGAATGGATTCTCATTTCTCCTTTGTACACCTTCACGAACAATCATAGAGTACACTCCGATATCGACACTGTTCATGTCTCCGTCATATTCGAAGTATGTCTCGCCTTGAAAGATGTTGTGAGTCTGGTCTATTGAATGTCTCTTTTTTATAAGTCTCGTTTGTTTGTCGAAAATAACGAAGAGGTGATGGTCTATTCTAAGTCCCCACGTGCCAAATGTATCGCTTGCTTTGCACTCGGTAGTTTCCGTGTTCCATTGGATCTGAAATGCATTCTAGGATCATATGAGGTCGTCGTGGTGGCATACTCTAAACTGAAAACGCTGAATGTCCCACAGGTTTTCTTTGCGGCTCGTCGAGCGATCTGAGAATGTGCGTGTTGGGACTCAGATACGGGCGAGAACGTGGTAAAAATGGCGTCTGGCGGCGTCCACTGCGACCAGCAACGTCTCGAGAGCTATAGAAGTATAGGTATCAATTTAGCGTCTGCCAGCGTCACCAGCGACCAGCAGCGTCCGGGAGTGGAGAGTATGGGGCGATAGGAGGGTAGCAGGCAGCTGGTAGAGTATGGAGAGATAAGAGGTTGCCAGCTGTTTGCTACCTTCCTATCGTACCATACTTTCCGCCAGCAGTCCCCTACTATCCTATCACCCTATATTCAGCGAGCTGTCTGCTACCTTCCTATCGCCACAAACTCCACGCTCTCGGACGCTGCTTTTAGCTGGTGAACGCTGACAGACGCTAGATCGTTATCTATGCCTTCTAGTCACTGACGCTACCGGGTGTTCTTAAAGCTGGTGGACGCTGTCGCACACTATGAATGCAGCCTAATCACAATGGCCTGCTGTTGTTCAGATGCCCCCTTGGACGAGATTTTCCTGTTCGTAAGCACTGAGAGCGCAGTTCAAACACTAGCCCTCTTCGTTTCCAGTGGTGAAAGCTAACTGAATAGAATAAAACGCTGAAATCGTCATGATACTGAGTAAGCAAATAAGTAAGGAAGCCGAACACGCCCACCCTTTCCCGCCAGCGAGATCTTAGTTGCTGGGGGGGGGGTCTGGTCGAGGGCATTACCAAGGGTTTCTACGTGTTTATCTTCACTGCTAAATACTGCAAATATTTGGCTTCGTACTGCCGTCGATGGAAAGCGGTCTTGCACTGCACCTCTTCCTTCCCTCTTTCCAGCACATCCAACAGTGAGCTTGGGTTCACTAAGGGGGTCTGACTGGTAAAAAACACTCGGACACAGGCGCTTTCTGAGAAAGGCTAGGGCTGACAAGGTCTCCGTCGGGGCAGATTCAGAGCACACATCTAAAGGTAGCACCAATATCTCCGATAACGACATCCCATACTGCGTGATTCTTGTAATCCTTTACAATTACTAACCTTGAATTTCACTCCATATACGTCTATTGTGGAGGCGATCAGAAGGAACATTACAACCTTGTTCAGAAACATCTTAAAACCTGAAAGATTGCTTTGAAATGGGCCGAAGACACAGACCTTCATCTTGACTACGAGGTGAAGAGATCCCACGTTGATTGCAGAAAACGTCACGGAACCTTGTGTTGACTGTCGTATTACAAAACTGACATTGAACGCTTAACGATCGGCTAAATGATACTCCTACCACGTGGGGATCTTATATAGGGTATCTTATCATCCTACATATCTTATCTTTGATTCTGCTACTGATAAAAACGTTCCCGTTGTTGGGTGAACAAACAAATTTGTTCGACCCCAGGCAAGTTCAAAGTGGAAATCTCCGTGTGATCATCTGCTCTGTGTCATAAAGTTCACTCGCTCTATAAGTATAGTTGTGCTATCAGCGGCATGCATCCAGCGACAGTAAAGTGCATTGCGGCATTTCCACTAGCGTTCCGAGCTTATTGCAGAGTCAGCGACCTGTAATGTATAGACCTAGCGCATCACCCCCTCCCCCCCCCTCCCGCTACCGTCAGGCAAAAATTTTGAGAAAATGTGGGAAATTCTCGGGAAATTCTGGGAACCCCGGAGAAAGCGGTGGGACTTTGGGAAAATCCAGTAAGTGGGTAGGATGGGAACGGGCGGGGGTCTATTCACCTTGAAATTTCCCTCAGCGGCAAGACGTGCCCCTGATTAATATCACCCCTGATGTAAGCTTAAAACCTGCTCCGACGGATAGCATTGCCAAGCCTTTGCTTTCCTGAGAAAAGCATTTCTGTCACCATGATTTGACCTCCTCAAGTGTTCTTAGGTACGCAGCCTAGAGAGAAGACGTGGACATGAGTACTGGGGAGGGGGGAATACACAGGATATTCCATTGATAAGCAAGAGCAGGCTCTCGTCTATCACCTTCATGCACACCAAACTATGGAGCCATCTCCAGGCGAGCCGTAGACTTTCGGATTCACGTCACCGTCAAGCAGCTTTTGTATAAGTCACCCATGAACCCGGCGACCAGCACTCTCCTCCAGAGAGCTCCAACAGCAGCTCTGACAACGTGTCGTGTCCAGGATATGATCCCCTCTACAGTTGCCGAGGCGCGGGTGATGATATGGATGGTATGGACTAACCATAAGTTCCTGGACTGCTGTTGCCTTCGTGGACCCTGGACTGAAAGTGAAGCTGACTGTTACATTAGATCGATGAGAATCATGAATCCATGTCGTCGTCCGCACCATCTTGGAAATTTCGTACTGCTACAGGATTGGGTGCCAGCACGTGGAATCGAAGGGCGTTGGAAAAACTCTCGCCTACTTGGAATCGAAGGGCGTTGAGTACCTGAAGAAGACGGAATATCCATTTCTGTCCCTACCCTCGCCTCGGTTACCGGGTTCGGGAGGAGCTCAACAGGGTGGTCTACAGTGGCGGAGAAATCAACGACCTCGCTGAACTCAGGCACCGAATCACGGTCGCGTGGCAGAATCTCTCGATGGCCTTTGTCCAGAAGGCTGTGGCGGAGTTTCATGATCGTCTACAATGTTTTGTTGAGTTTTTGGAAAGATGCAGTACAGAACAATTAATAAAGTGTAACATAACCACTTTTGAAAGTCCAGCGAAAGGGATTGTCTTTTCCCCGATCCTCCCCCTGTTTGCCCACGCATGACATGATTATAGATATCGCGCTCACGTTCTCTCTTTGTTCGAACCCCACCTCTGGCATCCATGTGTTTATGTTCTGTTCTATACTGCTATCTGGCCAGCTCGAGCTGTTCAGGTGGGAGTGCCCTTTTTATGATTGCCGCTAACGTTGTTAAAGATCCATATCAGATACGTTATCACGATACTCGTGCCACCAAGAGCCATTTCTGCAGAATCTCGTCGATGTGATTCAGATTCAATTTTTCCGAGCCCATGCTTTAGACCACCCTTGTTGATAACTCCGCCCGAACCAGGTAATTGAGGGGGTTTAGATTTAGGTGACCTGCTTAGATATTCCACCTTCTTCAGGTACTCAACGCCCTTCCATTCCAAGTAGGCAAGAGTTTTCCCAACGCCCTTTGATTCCATGTGGTGTCACCCAATCCTGTAGCAGTACAAAGTTTCCAAGAAGGTACGGGCGACGACATGTGGAGATATTCTTCTTTAGTTGCTCGATGTAATCGCCAGCGCCCTCACCTAGGAATCGGGGGCCCACGAGAGAAGAATATTAGGGCTATCTCCATTCCAGGCGTATGTCCGGTCCCCACCATGCAACTGCCTGAGCGTGGAAATTGCGATATTCATGCGTCTGTACAGCGCGACGTTGCGACGTTAGCGACGAGCTGCTCGATGTTGGAGGTCATCCAGATCGAGAGTACTGGTCTCCAGGTAGCTATCCATGGGTGACTCCATACTAGAAGTTTCGCAGCTGTTTGGAGGTGACATGAATTCCAAAGGTCTTCTCCAGTCAGGCTGCGACTGGAGATGACTTCATATTTTGGTGTACATGAAGGTGATGGGCGAGAGCCAGCTCCTGCTTATAGAGGAACATCTTGGGTATCTTCCGCCCTGGTACTCGTATCCACGTCCTCTGTCTGGGCTGCGAAAACTTTGCTGATATGTGACTCGGTCGAAATGTCTTTTTTGGGCCCCCTGTATGGTGGAACCTTGGCTTCTGAAGAAGACGACCACGTCGAAATGTTAGGCCGTATAATAAAGATTTCCACCTGAAAACTCGAGTGGCATAGCAATATAAACAAAATTGTAGATAATCTTTGAATGTATTACAGGTCTTGTGGGACATAGATCCGTCCGCGTGCCGTCAAAGTAGCGAGACATCTGGCACATCGCCACTCAGGGTTGACCATCACCACATTATTGTTTTCAACAAGAAAACGAGACTCGTAAAATCGAGAACCAGAGTGCATAATGGAATCGATCTCGATGTTCGAAGTGTTGTAAATGTCAGTTACGATGG